AGTGCAAGGCACTGACATACAGGGTCGTTGTTATCCTGGTACCCTACGTACTCCATTGTCCTGTGGACGGTAGCTACCTAACAGCATCGTATCTGCCCCATCTATTCACCATCTATCTACTCACTCACTCACTCACTCACTCACCGACCCGACCTTCACCCAGCTTGCAACTGCCTAGCCTTGGACACAGTAGAAGACTAACAATCACACAGTAGAAGACTAACAACACACACAATCACCCAGTAGAAGACTAACAATCACACAGTAGAAGACTAACAATCACACAGTAGAAGACTAACAATCACACACCCTCCTCCTCGGCCCCAAGAAAAGTCGGGTCCAATCAACAGAACCAAAGGAGAAAATGGCGTATAGTGACACAAGTGGCTTCCCTCGCCCTCCGTCCTACTCGACGCTGATTCCACCTGTGCTCACACCAAACCCTTCCTCTTCCTGTTCATACTCTACCCATCCTCTTCTCCACCCCCTCCTCTCTTCTTGCAGATGGACAAAAGGACGGTGAAGAAGAAGCGGACAAGAGACGAACCGACTGCCCATCATGCCCGTGTTGTTGCACCGTCGTGTCGTGCCTGCGCCAAACTGCTGGAACGGTAGTCGCGGTCGGGGCTTAGCGCGGCCGAGCCTTGCCCTCGTTCCGACCTCATCTTTCCTTGCCTACCCAACCTTGCCCTGCGCCCATGGGCCCAGTTGCTCTTTTCTTTGTTCACTGCGACGCCTGCATTTTCCATCTGCGCTCTTGGAATGCCTACCCAGTCGGCTTGTAGAGTACGTGGATGGGTTACTTTCCCGTCTAGGCGGCGGCAACAATGTTGGACTCGGCAGCCACTGTCTAGTCTCTACCAGTACCGGTAGAGGGAGCCACATGGTTCAAGTCAGTCGTCCGTCCCTTTGACAGACCGACCCTGCCTTCTTCCCTTCTCTTCCTTGCTTGCCTGCACCCACACTGCGCCCCTTCTCACCTCTCCACTCTCCCAAACACTCCAGTCTGACAAGGAACACGCAATGCCATGCCCACTGCCCACACTGCAGCCCAGCGCGAACGAGGATCAGGGTACCTACGCCATCCGTCTCGGGCACTGTTGCATGCTGGGCACCTACCACGCTAACCTGCAGGACCTACTGTACAATACCTACCTACAATACCTACCTACTGTACCTACCTACTGTACCTACCTACTGTACCTACCTACTGTACATACTGTACCTACCTCATCCCTCTCTCCACCCAACTGCCTATAGGAACCCGCCCCCTTCACCCGCGCCCCAGCATCACCCACTCTCTCTCTTGCCCCTTCCTCGTGGCCCATTCCCATTAGTTGCCCTCGATCCCACGCCGAACCTCTTCATCCTCCACCCATCCATGGCAATCTTCAATAGAAACCAAATGTCCCAAAGCACAACAAAGCACGTGCCATAGTCCCACAACCACTACACGCAATCCTACAAACAATCCCCTTTGCAACCCCCCCACGAGTAGAGTCCGCTACCTACGCGTACATGCCGCTGCCCAAATAGAGTCCAACCCACCTGATTCGTCCTCCCACGCCTTTGCCGCCATGACCACACCTCCCTCTCGTACCATAGCCCCATGCTACTTGTCCTTTGCCTTATGCCCAAATGCTGCCCCATTCCCACCCTACACACCACACTTTCCCACCCACTCGCACTCCCTGGACAAGCGTCCGCTTGCCCCTCGGCCATCCCACACCCACACCCACACCCACACCCACACGCTCGGCCTTGGCCGCTTGAGCCCTGCACGACTTTCGCGAGCTGCCCGATATCCCGTGATCCCGGGCCCATGTCCTGGGATCCTCCCCTTTTTGCCATGAACCCTCTCTCCTCGCATCGCTGGGTCGGTGGCGAGACGGCTGCTTGGGCAAGATGAATATCCACCACCCGCAACAAACACGCCTCACACCGCCAACCCATGACACGTGCATACACATCTCACACCACGCAGGAGACCATTAGCTACCATGCCGCAGACTGCCATGTCTAATCATGCAACGCTGTTATACTACAGCAAAGTGTGTGCAACGCTGTTATACCAAAGGCAAGTGTGTGCAACGCTGTTATACCAAAGGCAAGTGTGTGCAACGCTGTTATACCAAAGGCAAGTGTGTGTGCGCGTGTGAGGGGAGCGACGGGGCTGGTTTGGGGGGTATGGTGGTGGGTATGATGGATTGGATGCACGGGAGAGAGAGAGAGAGAGAGAGAGAGACTAGTCAAGAAGATGAATTACATTTCCTTCCATCTATGTAGCGTACAAAAAAGGGTAACTCTAGGTGGGTATCATATTATCTCGTTTCGTTTCGTCTCGACTCTTCTCGAGTCGTCTCGTCTTGTGGCCGTCAGATGCAGTGATTCGTGTTGATCTGACGAGCAGGGACAAGGGGAACAAAAAGGAGAAGAAGAAGAAGAAAAAAATAAAAAAACAACCATAATCGTCATCGTCGCCATCGTCATCGTCGTCGCCATCATCATCATCACAACCCTCTACCCACCCTCAATACTGCCGCCCAAACCCCACCCCACTCCACCCATCCAACCCCGAAATCAGCACAGACAGGCATCCAGCCAGCCACTCGCTAAAATCCGAGTTACCCACGTCCATGGCCAACGGCACGCCCAAAAAGTAGCGGCCGTTGCCAAAGGCACCGCCAGGCAGCGTCGGCACAGCACCGCCCGTATAGTAGCCGTGCTGGAGGCCGTTTGCGGATTCCCAGGCCCGCAGGCGCATGTAGAGGAAGGCGGCCCAGAGCGCGATGAGGGCGGAGAGCAAGGGCAGGGCGCGCTGGGCGAGGCTGGGTTTGGGGGGGAGGGGGAGGAGGGGGGTTTCGACCACGACGGGCTCCGGCTCCGGCTCCAGATTTGTCTGGGCCGGTGAGTCCGAGGTCGGGCGCCTGTCGACGAAGACCTGGAGGGGCCATTCGTCGTCGGGGGAGAGGAGGGCTTCTGTGATTTTGAGATTTGGGTTGGAAATGTCGGTTTGGGCGCATGCGGTGGCGGCTGTGTACTTGCGCTGGGGCGTGATGGGTGTGGTGCTGGCGGCCTCGCTGATGTGTAATGTCGATGATATGGCTACGGGCTTGACGGGTGTCGTGCTAGTGGCTTTGTCAACATGGATGGGTAGCGGCTGGACAAAAGGTTGAACAGGCGCGGTGCTCGCGGTTTCCTCTGCATGAATAGTGAGAGGCGGGATACGAGGCTGGACGGGCGCAAAGTTGGCAGACTCGTTGGTATGGATGGAGAGGGGCTGGGCATTAGGCGGGATGGGCGCTGAGCTCGCAGACTCATTCACGTGTACAGACAGGCGCTGGGCTTCAGGCTGGACAGGTGCGGCGCTGGCAGACTCATTGGTGTGGATGGAGAGGCGCTGGGCTTTAGGGGGGATGGGCGCTCTGCTTGCAGACTCATTGGTATGGATAGAGAGCTGCTGAGCTTTTGGCGGAATGGGTGCTGAGCTTGCAGATTCGTTGGTGTGAATGGAGAGGTGCTGAGCTTTTGGCGGGATGGGTGCTGAGCTTGCAGATTCGTTGGTGTAAATGAAGAGGTGCTGAGCTTCAGGCTGGACAGGTGCGGCGCTGGCAGACTCGTTGGTGTGGATGGTAAGGTGCTCAACTTTAGGCGGGATGGGCGCTGAGCTTGCAGACTCGTTGGTGTGGATGGAGAGGTTCTGAACTTCAGGCTGGATTGGCGCTCTGCTCCCAGCCTCGTTCACGTGTACAGACAGGCGCTGGGCTTCTGGCTGTACAGGGCTCGTAGTAGCAGCTTCATCGACATGAACAGCGAGGCACTGGGCTTCAGGCTGTACAGAGGTTGTGCTCGCAGACTCGCTAACATGAAGAGACAGGCGCTGGGCTTCAGGCTCAACAGGGATTGCGGTGGCGGCTTCGTCGACATGGATAGAGAGAGGTTGAGCTTCGGGGTGAATGGGCGCAGCACTTGCAGCCTCACTGACACTGACAGAGCGAGGGGGAGCAGAAGCAGGATCAACGGGCGTGATGTCAATGATATCTACAACGTCCGAGTACTCATTGAGAGGCTCATATGTACTGCTCAGACTGTCGTCCAGCTGCGAGGCCAACGACAGTTCATCTGCCAAAGACTCGTTGACGCTGTCGATGTTGAAACTCCACGGCTCTTCGTCGTAGGGCGAAGTGGCGCCCGAGGTGACGATGCGGTCGCGGTGGCGGTCGGCGCGGTCCTGGGCTTCGAGTTTGAGATTGCGTTCCTTTTGCAGAAGGCCCTCGAGGTGGCTGATGCGCTCATCTTTCACAATGAGGCTGCGGTCGTGGTCGGCGAGCTGCTGGACCAGGCTTTCCATGTCGGTCTGCAGGCCTGCGTTCTCCGCCTCGAGCTGGTCGATGGCCTCAAGCCGGTGCTCGAGCTGCTCAATCTTGGTCTGGCTATCCTCCCACTCGGCGTGCAAGTCGTTGAATCGCAGCTCGATCTCGTGGTGCTGTGCCTCGGCCTCGTCGCGGGCCTTGTGGGCGAGCTTGCGGGCGGTGATGGCCTCAGACAGGTCGGCGTAGGCAAGGTCGAGCAGGCCACTCGTCGTCTGCATGCTCTTCTTCTCTTGCTCTGCATCGCGCCGGTGCTTGTCCACCTGGGCAGCCAGCTCGTCCTCCTTCTCCCTCTTCTCCTCGAGCTCGCGTTCCGTGTCGGCGCGCACCCGGTTGGCCTCAGCCACGTCCTGCTCGAGCTTCTGGACTTGGGCCTTGAGCAGGCTGTTGTGCTGCTCCAGGTGCTCCACCTGCTTCTCCAACATGACCCCGCGGTCGTGCGCCTCCTCGCCGGGCAGGTCGCGAATCGACTCCATCTCCTCCTCCTCTTCCTCCTCTTTCTCTTCCTGTTCTTGGTCGTTCTTCTCTTGCTTCGTTGGCGTCTTTGTTTTTGACTTCTTCTTCCTCTTCCTATTCTTTGTCGGCGTCGTCGTCGTCTTCGCTGTCGCCGTCGCTGTTGCTGTTGCTGTCGCAGCCAGCAGCTTGTTCTCGAGCAGCAAGACAGACGCGAGCTTGCGGGCGACTTCTTTCTCTCTTTGTTCGCCTGTCACCGCGTTTCTGGCAACGGCTAGCGCCCCGCCAAGACGCGAGATCTCCGCCCGTAAGCCCGCCGTCGCCTTCGTGACAAGTCGCTCGTCCTTCTCACTCCCACTCCCGCTCAGATATCGCCCATGGTGCGCCCAAGCCTCCCGCCACGCAGCTCTTGCAAGCTTCGTCTGGCTTCGAACCTGCTTGGGCGGTTCTGGACTCACTGGTGGCTGCGGCAGCTCCTTCTGCACGCGCTTCTTTTGCTGCATGTCGCTGACGCCCGTAAAGGCAAAGGACGCGCCAACCCCAAAGGTGGGTGCTGGGGACCCGGTAGACATTGTGTTTACGAGGTGGTGATGGTCGTTGTGGTACTGGTGGTTGACGGATATCGCCCGGTCTTGAAGAAGAGAAAAAGAGGGAAACAAAACAAAAAGGCAGGCAGGGCAAGACTAAGTACCTGAGAATTTGGAGGCCGTTTGCTCAAATCTGCGAGGCCGTTCGCTCGAATCTGCGAGGCCGTTTGCTATTGTGGTAACCGAACACTCGGGCCGCCCTCAGACGGAAGGCAGCTATGTTCGCTGTTGAAGGCGGATTTAGTGGAGCCGCAAAGACACAGGAGGCTCTCTCCTGGTTGAAGACTCGTCGAAAAAGGACTGGTGACTGTTGGGAAAACAGTTCGTTGGGTCGCTATGTCTCAGTGTGGGTAAGCAGTTCTGGTTGTAAAGTCACAGATGGGGAGTCGCTATAATGCACTTGGGATGAGATATTGCAGTGACAACACATATACATCGCAACTAACAGCAAAGTCTCGAGGCAATATTGAGTCCACACGCAGTTTCAGGTATAGCTTCAACTCTCTCTGGCTAAAGTACACGCCATAATATCACATCACCTCAATCAAATATCCCACAACCGCCCTCTCAATCCCCAAAAACAAGCTTTCTTCCCATCACAGCCTGCGTCTCTCTCTTCCAACCTCCCACCTTCTTCGTCATCATAAACCACCTCAACCCTTCATTCCTCTCCATTGGACACACCGGATCATCATTCACATGTCTCTGCATACATGCCCAGCATTTGCGTGGTCTGCGTGCCCCTCTTGAACTCTTCTTGCTTTTCCCCTCTACCACTTTTTCCGTCTTACTACATGTGAGCAGAGCAGAACCAGCGGCAGCGGTCGGTACGCTTGGCACAGCGTACCGAGAAAGCTGTATGTTATCAAGATGCGAAATAAGTTCCCGACGGAAGCTCTTGCGAACCCAGCGCATGTCCACGCGCACGCTCGGTGAGATACTGCACCTACAGCGAGAAAAAAGAAGAACATTAGCGGATTACCCTGGGAAATCTTCGCACAAAGAGCACATACAGCACCGTCGTCGCCCGACAAAACAACTTGAGCATCTTAATCTCCCAAAGAGTAAATGGCACACCCACAAGCCGCTCATCCCTCAACTTCTGCACCGTACTCGCTTCCCACCTCTTCTTCTCCTCTCCCGTAGCCTGTTCTGCTCTCGCCGCGGCTTCCATATCCCGCACATCCAGCGACAGATACAATATCTGCTGTCGTATTTCCAAAGGTAAGCTCAGCAAGCTGGCACGCGGATAACTGGTATCCCTCGCATTCACTGGATCCTCGATTCCAGGGCATATCCACAAGTGCGGTGCGCGCTCCCTATGGATCTGTCTTCGTGCCGACGGCTTCAGCGTTCGGCTGGGGAACTGTTTTGCGACACGAACATTGCCCACCGTGCGCTTGCGCGCTCTTCGCTTTTTACCTGTGTTTTTGGACGCCATTGGTGTAACGGAGGAGTTGGTGGTGGTAGTGGCGGTGGTGGTGCGGAGCCGGGCAAGAGAAGATGTTCAGTGTAGGTTTTGTGGACCCGTTGGAGGGTGGGTGAGGCTGGGAGATGGGCATAGTTAGATTCTCTCCTACTCTAAGAAAGCAGTAGCTTTTGTGCTTCATATGGAGAGGAAGTTGCAAACGCAGTTCTCGGCGGAGTAATAGCAAAGTTTCAGCGCTAGTGTGCGTTTTCTACCATCTTCTCGCATGTAGCAGTGCTTTCGCATGGGATATTATGGGCGGTGTGGGATACGATAGTGAAGAGTAAATCTCCATGAATTTTGGTTGTCATTGTATTCCCTAAATATGTGGCTGCACGTAGTCTTGCATGTTGTACAATGATATTAGTGCGAGACCTCATGGTCATCACTAACAAAAGTAAGAGACATCATGCTCAACGTTATCTATGCACGTGTACATCGCAAAAGATACGATAATATGTTTTAATCAAGGGCTAATAAAACGCACAGGATTTACACGATAAACAGGCGCTGGACAGAAGCAAACGAGATGAAATAGAGTCATGATCAACGATTTTACCTTGGCTAGACCAAATATTCAAGGATCCAAAAGAGCGGCCGGCCTACCAAAACCATCACGTGTGCACGCTCAGTGAATGTGCAGCGACAATTCCAACGCCTTTGCCAATTCCTCCTCGTCCGTCCCAGTATCCGTCCTCCTGAGCGGCGCAAAAGCATCATGACCATCACGCTCAGCTGTTCGGCCGCCGTCTAGGCCATGTTCATCCCTCACGACTCGCGGTATTGAGGATCTAGGATCTACCTGTCTCGTTTCAAAGACGCGAGCGACTTGCTCGTCTTCTGGCTTGAGTGGCATGGCAGGCCCGGCATCAAGTTCATGGAATACGGGTGCGAGTATGGGCATGGGCATGGGCATGGGCATGGGCTGTGGCAAGGGCTGTGGCATGTAGTGCTCCTCTTGTTGCACGGGCTTGGGCGGGCGACGGCTCGTCTCGCATCGACGGCGGACCCAGTCGGGGGTTTCGTCGGGTGTTTCTGGGAAGGGATGGCCAATGGCGTTGTTTGGTGCCGAGCCCATGTTGTTACGCCATGTATAAGTGATATTGCTGTCGCTTGCGGGTCTTTCGAGGGAGACTCGGTTGTGTGCATGACGCTTTTCACGCAGCGATTGACGCTTGATTGACATTTTGGGCCGTTCGGGATTTGGTGACGGAGGTGAGGCTGTACGATGTCAGGGTTTTGATGCAAATGAGTCATGCGAGATGGAATTTTACGACTTACTAGCTTTCTTCAGTGGCTCGCCATCCGCTAAGCTCCTTGGAAATCCACTGATCGGAAACCCGGGACGTACGTGTGGCTTCATCCGGTCGTCAGTAAGATGGAGATCTATAGACAACAGTGATGACTCTGAAGTCACCGGGATGACGATAGATTCAAGATGAAACAACCCTCGGTCAGTCATCTCGTGAACAACGCGAGCGGTGATGTAAATGTCCTGAGCACTCTCTTCGTGCTTGACCTCCTTTACATGGAAGAAGGGCTGAAAGTTTGGTCGCTGGTGCTTGCGTATGTCTTGAATATTCAGCATATGTGACACTTTCAGACAACGTGTACTTACAGTCCCCCAAATTGCGCAAATTATCAGATCCAGACCCAAATCTGCATTGCACAGTGCCTAAGATGTGTTAGTCTTCAATACGATATACAAATTTGAAAGAATGAATACCCTGTATCGTAATAAGATCCCCAGCCTCCCGTGAAGCGCCTTGCTTCTCAAAGTAGAAGGAGCTGGCAACGAGTCGATGTGCAATCCCCTCGATTTTGATCCGCATGCCGTGCGTATTCATGCCTGACTTGATCTCGTCATGAAGAGACTGGATCTGAGCCTTGTCATCCATCTTTGGTGTGCGATTCTGCGTCCTTGGATTAAGCCGAATGTATCTCTCGGCTGCGATTGGGGAAGACGTCCCAACAACATCTTTTCGGAACTCTCTCCATGTAAGTTCGGCATTGAGAACGCTTTCGGCACGCTTCTTGAACATGCTAACTAAAGATTCTATCTCGTTGAGGGCCCTCAGCCCAGGGAACGAGGGCTTCTCGCTGATGTTTGGCTTTACTTGATTGAAGACCTTCCGCAGATGCAAGTGTCGGCGGTCATACAGTGTAGCGTCTTGATCACCATCTGACTGTACACCATTGTGACCTGTGCCAATCGAGAGCAAAATGTCAGGATGATGTTCTTCGGCATCCGGCCAAAGAAGTTTGCTTTCATAGTTGGCTATCCTCACAGGATTGTTGTGAAAGACCGCTCCATCTAGAAAGCCCTCGTGTGTGCGTGAGTTTTTGAAAGGCTTAAAATAGGTCGGTGCAGCAGAAGTAGCTCGTGCCCTGGAGAAGATTAGCTCCTACTTCGTCAGCAGTAGTGAATCAAGACTTGCGCTTCTCTGATCAGAAGGTCGTTCTTCGGGTCATCTGGCCGCATCAACTGGTACCCGACTGTGAATTGTCAGCATTTCCGGACCCATAGTTTCAGATTAGACATACTCTGCTCATCATCTGCTCTATTGTAGTTCGTGAAAATCACGGCTTGCTCAGCAGTCTCTGTCGCAGCAGTAACTGCTACTTTCCGGGTGCTCCCGATGAGCGTATCAGGAACTCCTCCAAATAGCGGATCATCTTGAAATACCTCGGTCAAAGCTTCCTCCAAAGGCCGTGTACGATACTTGGTAGTACCGAAAGCTATCCCACCTGCGAATTTCCGGGTGAAGGCTTTCTCTACAAGTCGTAGGAACACCTTGATACAGTAGTCCACAGTCCAATTCTTGATACCCAGTCCAAGAGCTAGGATACCCCCAGTACTGTATATATGTTAGTTAGAGTCTGTAACAGGAGGCACGAGTTGGAGGATTAAAACTCGATCGAATCAGAAACTTACCTTGTTCCCACTATTAAATCGAAGAACTCCTGTATGGGGATGCGATTGCCCAGTTCATATTGTATCTTTCGGAGAACTTCAAGAATAACAATGCCGCGCATGCCGCCACTACTTGTATGAGCATGGTCTTGCGATTTTTCGCTGGATTTACAACTCACCCATCCAGAGCTAGAACACGTACGCCCGCAAGCTGTGGCTTGAAGATAATTTCTGAAGGTACCCGAAATACCGCATCAAAATCATGAAGCGGACATGAAGCTACTGTATAAGATCCTGGCAACTCGTTATGAGGTTTGCCATAGCCATGGATGCAGGGAGTGCAGAGCACATGACCACAAGGTAGAGGATGCTCGGCTAACTCCCTCAAGCAGCAAAAGCAGGTACAGTGGCTGACGAATCGTTGGGCACCACCGACACGATGGTAGAAGCTGTTCACGTTGACCTGGTGGATCTTCGTCATGATTACGATGTCAGTGGATTGAGATGTGACCACCTCCGAATTGAGGCCTTTCTCAATCTCGAGCACAGACTGGCGGAGGTACTGAAGCCACTCCTCTGCGAAATCATCAAACGTAAATTTCGCTTCGTAGGGTCCGGTCCCTATAATGTTCCCGCGCCTGTTCTGATGTCCCTTGGTGTGACGCTCCTTGACGTTCACACATCGCTCGCCACGTTTGTTGTGGAACGTGCAAGGCCAGAATATAGCACAGAAGTCCTCAAGAGCGCTATCACAGTGATACAGATACTGCTTTTCTAGTAGTTGATCTGCAGGACCTGTGATCTAAAGTTAGCGACATCAAGAGCAGACTAAGCCGTCGTGGACACATTAGTACGCAGCGTGATGGACACGTACCTCGCAAGCTTTGGCGAACAATGTCAAGGAGTATGCATGATGAGACCATGAAGCTCAATTCCTTGAAGATCCTTCTGGGATCTTCGAATCGGTCTTTGAGAGCAACAGCCAGTTTCAGAATATTACCTCCGAAGTCCAAGGGTATAGGATTGATTTTGAACGAGACATCCATGAAATCAAAGGGTGTGTGCAAATCCTGGGCAAAGTGATCAAAAGCACACTCTAGGTAGACTTTAAGAGTTTCCGAATTCGAAAGCATACGAGAGCGACGCTTGGCATTGAAAGACTCATTGCAGCGCTTGGTGATGACGTCGTGAAGCTTCTTAATCTGGTCGTCAATCATCATGTATCGGCCATCTCCTGGTATCCGCACAACAGTGATTGAGGAATAATAACACTCGAGAAGATCCTTCATTGTTCGAATACGTTTACCACGACTGACCCATTCGTCTCTCAGAGCACGATATGTGGGATCTCTGTCCACAGCACCTGCGACGCTGGTCATCAGCATATTGGTGACAAATTCAGAGTCCCACTCCTGTTGATCGACTTTAGTCTCAGTGGCGTTGAGGGCAATGACGGCATGCGGCAGTGTAGGCTGATTGAGCGACTTCTCGAGAGAAGAGGACGCCCAATTAATCAGTAATGCTAGGACAGTCGACTCGAATACTCTACTGCGCGTCAGTATAGGATCAGAAAAATCTGAATGAAGGTAAAGATGAAAATTGACCCTACAACCCTAACCCTAATGCATTGGGATTGAACATCGCTACAGCGTTGCCAACGAGTGGCCATTGTTTGAAATGCAAGTGTCGAGGGGTGCGAGATCGATTTAGAGTAGGACTGACTTACTTGGGATTGCGGAGGACGAACACGATGACATCTGAGAATGTATACAACAATCGCGGATACAATTCTTCAACGGCATACTGCCTCTTTTGTTTGTCTGGTGAATTGGCCCATTTGATATCCCGTTGGGTACAGCGCAGCCCTTTGGACATCTTCCTACGCTTGCCACGGTCCTTGGATGAATGGTGATCTTTCCCTTTCTCTCTGCTCTGATTTGAGGCATGGTGACGATACTGTGCTCCCATTGGAAGGGCCTCGCCGCCTTCCAAACCCTCACAGTCGGCATAGAGCATTGGATATTGGGCAGCGTACGACTTTGGGTCACTATAAAGGTGTACGTCACCGGAAGTGGGAACGCTGCCATTAGCCAAAGATCCGGCGACCGGAGAAGGCAGGATACAATCACCTGGGTGATATTGCCGTTGTTGCTGATCAATAAGCATTTTGATGATGGTGCTCTTTCCAGCACCTGTTTGCCCAATAAATGATACCAGTTGCGGATATCGAAACTTGTACTCGCCAGTGTTACTGTCGGTCATTATTGTGGAGTACCGGTCGTAATCCTGGAACACAGGTCGGTCCAGATAGTCGCGAGAGAGACCGAACCAGGTCGTATCCTCATCTTCAACATGTAGCGTTTGTTGTTCGCCGTGGTCCTTTGGTGGCGTCAGGATCTCCTTTAATCGGCGAACAATTGCTGGATCGGCTTTCTCGTGTGGCAGTCCATCTGGACCCGTACGGCCTCGCTTATGTGGACCTTGCTTACCCCAACAGTCGTCGCAGAAGTTCATATCACAATATGAACAATTCCATATTGGTTCCTTGTGAAGATCACAGTTCTCGCAAAATTTGTGAGGGTTGTCCTTGGGTTCACTTTCTGAGTTGTCTCTTGAAAATGTTTGCGTAGATTTGTATGGCGACTTCGGTGACTCCCTAGGCGTGTTTGCAGATACTGAACCGCGATGCTGACCAGCATTACGAAATGTGTCTGGCTTAGAAGATCTGTTGAGAGGTATGTCTGTGGTATAAGAGGGGGGTCGAGTGGTGGCAGGCAAGTCTGACGGCCTTCTATACATTGAATTTGACATGTTGAAAGACTAGGCTTGAGTAGAAAATATCGATGTCACAGAGAGGGGTAAGCACTACTAAATATCAGCTACACGTGGGGTTCGTGCTACTCTGCGTCTTCATGGCCACAAGACTAGGTTTCAGCCTTCCTCACGAATCAATATTTGCTGCATGTCGATATTGGTTACCTTACCAAATGAAAAGGGAACTATCCAAGCGACGAGCAATCCAGGCGGTCGCGGAGAAGGGTGACTGGTTTGCTAAAAGCCACGGGCAAGCCATGAGGGCCGTATGGATCCTTCTGAGGAATGCTATCCATCGCGGGTCTGCGACCGAATCGCCCCCAACTACTCAGCTCAGCATTTTCAGGCGCACAAGAATATCGTATCTGCCAGCCGGCGGGATTGGGTCGGATCTCCAATCATGCTTCAGAATACTGACACGCAGGTCAACATGTCGAAGGCTGATTGTATATTTGGTCAAGGGGTGTAGTCGATGGGCTAAGCATACCCTCCTGAGGCCGTAGTAGTTACCTGCTAGAGCTCATTGATGACTTTCTGTCTATTGAAGACTATCTGTCTGCAGAAAGAAGGAGGTATTGTAACGAGATCAATGTAGGAATCGTCCATAGCCTTGTTGAAGGAAGGCTGAAGTTCGATAAGATCGAGCAAGACCAGACTGTAGGCGTTATGTAAAACGAGGATGTGTGATTGACTGAAAACGACAGGCGCATATGTAATGTGGCGGCCAGTTGCGTAGTGGAATAACCAATGGGGCAGAAATGGGCTCATGGCCAGATGTGATGGTGACATGGTCGACGAGCAGAAGTCACGGCTCAGCGCTGATATCGAGGGCTGCGCACTATGTAAGTATATACGGCGGAAATTGAACGAATAATCTTGAGATGAGAATTTGATCCTTCAGCTATTGGAGCCTAGAACTGGTGGCTGCAGGTGGCAATATAGCATCTTCTGAGACACATCGTAGAGTGAGCGGAGTGCTTACATGGAAACAGGCTCACATAAGTAGTGGCACACACTGCACTCTCCGGATAAGGGAATACGATCCCTCGTCGCAGATAAGGGTAGTTTGCTGCGGCCTGCGTCTCCGTCGAGTGCTGTGGAAGATGACCATTTTGGTGCTCTCCAGTGGGTACACTGAGGTTGTAGCCATGGGCTACGACCACATCTAACAAGTTACTCACTGATATTCTCAATTGACGATATAAACAAACGCGACATGGGCCACGGGGTCGGTTGAAGCATCGGCATAATCGGCCTCGTTGAAGGAAGTATTGGCTGAAAATAGCAAATGTGGACCAGTTGCCGGTAACATTGCCTCCAACGGATCCACCACGTATGCCATCTGAAAGGGAAGTGGTACTGTAGAGGATGCCTCGGCTAGATCTGGCGGGAACTTGATGCCTGAGGTAAGAAAAATGGCATGTAGACTCAAAGGCAGGACTTGGAAGAATAAGAATGCAAAGAATACATACCTAGAGTAGTGGCTCCTCTTCTCCGGTCACGGTGCTGATGTGCCATGAAGGGTGGGAAAGAGAAGGCCGGGGTACGTCTGTGCTTCCATGAATGACGCGCGGCGGCGTCGCGGCGAAGCAGGGTGACATCCACTGGCTTACCCTTTGTCTCTCCCCCATCCTCACAACTTCGTTTCTACTATCCCTGATCTTCTGACCAACTCCTTCTTTCTTTTACACACAACCATCATGTCTCCTACTAAGTTAAGCGTCTTTGCAAATTTGGCGCTGGTCGCCAGCGCCATCCTGATCCCGCCGTCTGTCACGGCGGAGCTCGACAAGGCTATTGAGGGGCTCGCGATTGACCCCTTCACCCGCACCGTTACTCTGGACTGCCCCGGATGTCCCTTTGCAAGTCTGGAGGGCGACTCATATGAATGGACGCCTGATGCCGGCAACGCTTTTGTACGGACTACACCTTCCGAGACGCTCTCCCCTACACGGTACTGACTCTGCACAGCGTTTAGACCTCCAAGTTGCCGACGAGACCAACTTCAATATCGATGGCATTCAGCTGTTCCCGCCTACTCTCAGCGTGAACCCTATCCACGTCACCCAAATTGATCCCTCCTCCAAAGAAGAGCTACGCCTCCGTGTCACTGGCTTCCAGTTCCGCTTTAATGGCGCAAAGACCGTCTCTGAGACAGGCACCGAGCTGCTGCCTGTGACACTCAAGATCGCCAGCATCGAGGAGGTTCCGGTCACACTCCCAGAACTCACTATTAATCTCCTCAAGGATACCGAGGGCCGTTTGATGATCGCCTCATTCGATACCACACGAGCCAGCGAGGAGGCCTCTCCGATCGCCGAGCTCAAGGAGTGCAACGAGTGGCCATTACTCTGCAAATGGAAGGGCATGTTTGCTGACAGAATCGAGAGGATGAAGAAGATGGGCAAGGGCTGCCACCACATGATGGAGCATGGATTCCACGGCAAGCCACCACACCCCTTCCACCATGGCATGCCTCCCCATGGCTCCGAGCACATGGACCACCACCATATGGGCCACGATCACATGGGCCACATGGGCCACCGCCACCACCGTCACGGACGTGTCCAGACATTCTTGCGCCGCGCCTTCTTTACCATCTTGATCCCGATTGTGATTGGTATCTTTGCCGGCACTGTCACCTACCTCATTGGTATGGCTCTGGGCTGCCTCATTGCTATGAGCGTTGCCAAGATTCGCGGCCAGAGCTATCAGAGAATTGCGCTCGAGGACGACGTGCCAGCGGCATATGAGGGGAGCGAGAAGCAGGATTTTGCCGAGCTTCCAGCCTATGAAGCGCCTCCGGTCTACGAGGAGGCCACTGAGAAGGAGGTGACGGATAGCAAGTAGAAGATGCATGCGACTGACGTGATGGAAAAGGAGAAGCCATGGCCCTGATGGAAGCTTAGGCTGTATGAGTAGATTGATATCACCTGTGACACAGTACTGTGTAGTCTTTCCTTGAGTAGCACGCGCGATGAATTTGATCCATGAGTTTTATTGGTATGCACTAGACGAATTTGACTGAGCCATGTGGCCTGTAGAATACGTGAGATGGTGTCGATGATTGCATGTTTGGTCATTCGGGTGACATTAGAGAGACGCTCCACGCATGAGCTATTCACAAATCACGACATCGCCAGTCGCTCACTGCCAGGTTGCGCACGTCAACACGGCTGTACCATGATCCCCAGCAAGATTGCGCCAGTAGCAGATCTCACAAAGGGACTCGAGGCTCTCTTGAGGAAAGGACTGGGCAATCATGCACTACTGGCCATGCGTCTGACTGGTTGTTGGTTATCGGTGTTGCAGCAGTTAGTAACAATCATGCAAAAGTGAAGTTCGCAGCTAGCGCCCCCACTAAGCACCTAGCGCCCTAAACAGCAGCAAACCAGCCCGCCCAACCCAGCTCGACACTCGCCCTTTCAAACTGCTGCTTTCCGAACGATTGATTCTGCGCATTTCTTCTAAGGCACGAACGGGCGGTCCTGATTTCATCTTCGTTCTCCCCCCCCCCCCCTCCCCTGTGCCCACTTCGGCCTAGCGCCCCCTAACTCTGGAGTGTGTGATCTGGAGGCTGCCGCAGCGCCCGCCCGGCCAGGTATATAATCGTGGTCGCCCACCGCCTACACTCGCGCCTTTTCCTCTTTTCTTTCTCTTCGTCTCCTCCACACCCCCTCCCCCAGCTTTTCTCTCCTCTCCAATCCCGAGTTTTGCAGCAGCCACCCGCGATCCTGCATTTTCCAATCCAAAACCAACAACGACTCGGCATTTCTATTCATCTACGCTAAATACGTTGGCAATATGACTGGACGTACGTAGACTCTTGCTTTTTTGTCTTGGTCTTTGTCTTGTTGCGGTGCGTGGTTGCTGCCTAGTTGGTGTTGCCACTGCAGCAGCATGTTCGCGATGCGCGCGCTTGGTGTTGAGGCTCAACGCGTCGCCCCACCACACGTGCATGGCCACATACATGTAGCCTCCTCGCCTGCACAATCCAGACAATACCTACAACACACTGCGCCAACCCGCACTCTCCTCTCCTCTCCACTCCATCATGCTAACCTCTCTCCTCCAGGCGGCAAAGGTGGCAAGGGTCTCGGCAAGGGTGGTGCCAAGCGTCACCGCAAGATTCTTCGTGACAACATCCAGGGCATCACCAAGCCCGCTATCCGCCGTCTCGCCCGTCGTGGCGGTGTCAAGCGTATCTCGGCCAGTAAGTCTCAGCGCGCCCTCGCCGTCGCCTAGTCGTGTGGCTAACGCAGCATTACCAGTGATCTACGAAGAGACCCGTGGTGTGCTCAAGACCTTCCTTGAGAGCGTCATTCGTGACGCCGTCACCTACACCGAGCACGCCAAGCGCAAGACCGTCACATCGCTCGATGTCGTCTACGCTCTTAAGCGCCAGGGCCGTACTCTCTACGGTTTCGGTGGTTAGGCTTCTCGTCTTCTTCGTCTCGGCGCATCTGCGCCCTTTTGATCTGCCAGTGAAAGGCTGGCTCGGTTCAAGGGCGGCTTGGATGGTCTCGACTTACTTTACTACTTGTTCATGATGGGAATCACGGCTATCTCGGTCTTTGACGGCGTTTTGTCTTCTGTATGTTCACGGGGGTTCTTCTTGGGATCGATCAATGATGTCGACAATCGAGTCTTTATATGGCTAGATAGAAATCAATGCGTACTGTACATGCAGTGCACAGAATACTGCATCGCCTTGTACATTCCTTCGTATTGCCTTGATGGCTTCGTGGTGTGTAGTTTTTACCATCAATAACTTGTGATAGTCTCGCCCTCAGGCCCTTCATTGCTCCATGCCCCCCCAACCTCATGGCTGCTACGCTGAGGAGAAGAAGAATTCTCTCGTGTAGAAAGTACGAGGCACATCAGACGTGCTGGGATCTTTGGGCACATGACATGTAGACGGGTGGTGTGCGTGCATTCTACCTTTCTTTTTTCTTCTTGCGTTTTGCCTAGGCGCAACTGGATTGCTCACCGGCGGTACCGGTACCCCCGCCGATTTTGCTTGCACCGAGAGGGTCTGCATCACGACTTGGAACATTGCGAGACTCTCTCATCCAGGCCTATTCATTGTGGCTGGCTGCTAATGGACGTACACAGTAGTCATGCTATTTTTGTCGCTCTGTTATTGCCATCCTGTCTAGAACGCAGCAGCCCCGGCGCTGGCCTGATGCTGGGAATCTTCGAGATGTTCTGGCAGACAGAGATTCTGGAAGGCTGCCAAGATATGCATGAAATTCCTCCAAAGAGGGGCACGCCCAACCCGACCCGAGACGTCATCGTGCATGCGATAAAAGCGCCGAGTGCAGTCATGGGAAGGGGAGCATGAACCTGTTCTGGAACTGCGTCGAAGAGGTTCTATTGCGTGTTTTGCAGTTTTCCCCACAAGCGCACGCGTTCACGTTGTACCGTACCGTGTACTGTGTGCTCTTGGAAGGGTGGGTGTGTGCCCAAAGCGACCCAAGCTCTGGCACGGTAAGAGTACGACGGTAACAATGGGTATGGTACGAGGAACGGGTGGTGTCGTCTCGCTCCCGAGGGCTGCAGTTGGGCATTCATAAATCACAGCATCACCAATGAGTTGGCCATAGGTCGGCAGATCAACGTGCTCCGGAAGAAAAGGGTTCCTGTGTTGCTTTAGATCTCCCGAGCAGGCCCGTCGTGGCAATGGACTAAGATCAGGTAGCGACTGCAATTTGCCGTGCCTGACAGCTGACAGGCTGGACCCAACGGTGGTGCCCTTGGAGGCTTGGGACAAAAGTTGGACTGGAAGGGTGGAGAAAGAGTCAACAGCTGGACGGGGAAGAGTGGCCGTTCGGTCCTTGGTCGAGATTAGGTGGCGGTACAGTAGGTACTTGCTTGCTGTGATTGCACATAGAGTAGGTGCCTATCTAGTAAAGACACCACACGAGGTTTTGAGCAGGGGGGATGACACATTGACAACGTGTGACCACAAGAGTAGGGTGAGTTAATCAGAGAGTGATAGAGACAAATGGTACTTCAGAGGTAGTAGTGGTACTCTGGATGGGTAGTAGGTAGGAAAGAGGGGCGACATGAGTAGGAGTAAGTAAGTAGGCTAGGGCAGCGCAGGGTGAGCCCTTCCCAAGTTTCTCTCCTGCTCTCTCTCTCTCTCTCTCTCTCTCTCTCTCGCGATTCACCGGTGCCCAGTGAAGACCGGGATGCGCTTGCTTATGCGAACTGGGACGGAGCTGGTCGAGGTGCATCGGCCAGTGTACCGGTAAGTACTGTATGGGTGGGATAGTGGCTTTTGTGGATGGGAGATGGGGGATGGTGTAATGGGCACATGGGCTGGCTGGCTGTGGTTGTCCTACGTCATCGCTGCGAAGCCGCCAGACCGCAGTGCCCAATCCAAGGTCTTGCTGCTTGCACCCCACCACAGTCAACAAGGTCAGCCTTCTCCATAACGTCAGGCGACGGGCGCATTCTGTTCTTCTTCTTCTCCTTCTTCTCCTTCTTCTTCCTCTCCCAGTCCTCGCCTGCCTTCCCACACTATTCTTCACCTTCTTCACCTTGCTGTTGCTGTTTGTTGCTGTGCTCATATACGCTCTTCTTGCACTGCACGGCTCATCACCCCTCCCCCCCCCC